GGGGGGGGGGGGGGGGGGCGACGTCGTTGTTGTGTTGGGCTTCCAACGGTTGGGGGGAGGGGGGGGAAGAGAGAAATTGTTTTTGTCGTTGGTGTATTCCACGAAGGCTGGATTGGTAAGAGGTAGATTGCTGTTGCCTTTTTTTGCTATTTGTTGTTCGGAGTGAAACTCTTGTGTTTACTGTTGCGGGTGGTATTTGGCATTCGTTGTGGTGTTGGTTTGTCTTTGCGCTTCTTCGTCTTCTTCTCTTCACGCAAACCAAAGCCTCGTATCACACAGTACTGCATGAATGTCGCCGCCGTGGACGTGGTCCGCTCAAGCCTCGTCACAGACGACGCGTCCGACCCACCCACCCTCACCAACAAACCACAACACCACCCGACGTGTCTCTTCAGTACTTGAGCCTCGGGGCGATCTCGACCCCGGCGGGGATGCTCGAGAGGCTGCATGTGCCTGGCACAAGCCTGGATTGTATGCGTACCACAGATCACGTATGACGCCGCGCCCCCCCCTGGACCGATTTTCAAAGCTCCACGACGAAAAGGATGCGTCAACCAAATGACACGTGTTTTCAGAAGCTCTCGACGGAGACGGTTCCCGCGTCACCATTTTTTCGGCACCGCTACTCTGTCCGCTGTACAGTAGAGAAATCGAGCTTGGAAGAGTGGTCCAGGGTGTTTGTTTTCTTGTGTAATCTCACCTACGGTGTATGGTGGGTCCCCTTCATGCTTTTGCGGTGGAATCCCCAACGTTTGTCGGGGAAGATTCCCTCTTTTTCACATATATACTGGTGGTAGTAGTACTACTTCTGTCGCACGGCTAAACAAGTACACCCCCCTGCCCCACCTTGACCCCCGGATCGTGTGCCCCCCCCCCCCCCCTAAATTTTGTTTACGTCCGAAGACGTGACTTGGGACGGGGAAAACAAGGTGTGGGCCTTCGTGGGGTGGCAGTACGGGGTGTTCGGCTTGATGGCCCTCTTCGCGATGTTCCTGCCCCACGTACCGAACGACGTGACCATCCAGCTCAAGAGACAGGCCTTCATCACCTCCAAGGTCTTCCACCAGGGGCGTACCCCCCCCCCCCCCTTTTTTTTGTTTCCTTTTCGTTGTTTCCATTTTGGGGGCCCCTTTTGGTTTGCGTCTTCCTGGGGGGGTGTTCCCGTTTTTATTTATTGCCCCCTCCCCCTCCCCCTCCTGTGTCATGTGTCCTGGCCACCAAAGCGGGCATCCCCAAGCCCAAGGGAACCGTTCCCCTGCAGGCCTATTACTGCAGGTTGACGTTTTGTGGATTACCTCATGTCTCGCAGATTTCACACACCCCCCCCTCAAACGGGGGGGCATGCCCTTTGCCCTGGCCCCCTTCCCCCCTGGTAGACATGGCCCCCCGGGCTGGCTGGTGCCTCTCGTCCGTTCACGCCCCCCCCCCCCACTGGGTTGACTCTGATTCCGCCGCCGTATCGTGGGCACCGTTGACCTTCGTTCGTTTTTTCTTTCTATCTCCGCAGCCTCCGCCGCTCTTCTTGTGCAGCATCGGCTTGACTTTTGTTGTGTGGCAAGTAAGTAAATGTAGGCAATTGGACGGCGCTATGACTCGATTTTTGACCAATGAATCTCTTTTCGTGTGTATCTCTCTGACCTTTTGTGTGTTTGTGTTGTGTTTTGTTGTGTTTTGCAACAGATTCCTGACGAGCAGCGATTGGCCCACGTCCGATCGGCGGGGCAGCGCAACCTGGACATCAAGGGCAGGGACGACCGACCCCCAGCCAAGGAGAAAATTGTTATCCCTAGGTACTCCATTTGCTGATAAGGTGTCATCCTCCAGGGAGACCTGGTGTTGTCATGGCCGTCTGATTCGATTTCCTGATGGTGCTTCGGTGTCTGCTCCCGTCATCTGTGATCTGTGATATACGTACCGTGGTGGTACAGGATAGTCTGCGAGGCCAGGGATTCCTTGTTTTCCCTGCCTCTCCCTACTTGGACTATTGATGCTGCGTGTTGTCGGGAGTTTTTGTCGGGCGCTCGTTACATGTTCACGCTGGAAGGGTTTGTTGTATTATTGTATCTATCGGGGTGGGGAGGCAGTCCATCTGACGTCATATCATATGTAGGAGGATCATTCTTTGTTTTCTTCTAGGAGGGGAACGCCGCTATTAGGCGCTTTGGACTTGCATTCATTTTAGGGTAGACGGGTGGCGAGGTGTTTGTCGTGGTATGCGTAGCACTGGCGCTGCTGCTGTCTGAATATTTACTTTTTAAAAGGCCCGCAATTTGCGGGGGGTGGAAAGAGAATTCGTGCGATGTGTCTCCTGTTCCGTTTGACGGGACTCTATATACACATACATTGTCGTGCCATCGATTCCACGTACGATGTCATGATATTGTTGCAATTGTATGCCGTTGTTGGGGGCGGTGAGCGAGCGTGCGGTATGTGGACATTCACGTCACGCGTTTTGAATGTCACGTTGTATCAATGGTTCATCCGCGCTGAATGCTATGGGTCGGTCTTCTTGGCTCCGCGAAACAGTTTTTGGTGAGGCACCTACCATATACATACCTACCTTGAGCGTGGTTTCGTGGGGGTCGATTTGCGACTAAGTCGCTCGCTCGCGGGGCTGGCTGGTTGTCTTGCGTCAGCTTCGTACAAGAACGAGCCGTTCGTCACCGTGCAGGGAAATGATGAGACTTGTCGCACCCGGTGCCGCCGAATGGGCACTATTATAGTCAACGAATGAATGGCGAACGGCGGTGCTCTCTTTCCGGTTGTGTGCTAAACCTTGGTACATAACGTACATACGTACTTCGTCCAACTGCTGTGACGTGGTCAGACTCCTTCCGCTAGGGGCCCTTTCAAGAAACGCCGGGGCGGGGTGTACTCATAGCCGTGGATGCCGTAATAGTCGTCAGACCATCCATTGACCTTGCATGCCTACAAAGAAAAAGCCGGGACGGAGCACGCCAGGTTCTCACCGGACCAGGCTCTCACAGCACCAAGCGCGAAGCACCGTGAAGTATTTGGCGTGTCGCATGAAGGGTGAGCTGCATCCTGCTAACGGTGTTGTGCGTCTTTGTGCTTACTTCCTTGCACAAGGAAGACAGCTGCGAATGACTTGATTTGTTTTATGGTGATATCTTCAGAGCAAGGGAGGGATGACCTGACCCTAAACAAGCTCATCATGGTATACGTATACCAAAGTTTCACGTGGAGGCATAATGTTGATGTCTACGCCGAGAACGATGCACCAACTCGGGGGACCAATGGATGGATAGGTGGATGTGCTGGCGTAAATACATGCACTCGCGGTGTTTTTCGCGGCCACCCCTGCCACATCTGTGCATGGCATGTACATCATCACTTAATTAAGTTGCAACCTCGTGTGTCGCGTGGTGGCGAAGAACGAGCGGTTGGATGCCCGCTTGGACGGAACCGAATCTCACGCTCTTGTCCATTCGCTCCTGTTCTACATACAAATGGCGCATAGGGGAGGGAGCAGGACAGGACACAAATGTACCCCGAGGAACACTCGTACCCGAAAGTTAAGCGTTTTGTGTTACTTTGCAGGCCATAATGGAGAGAGAGAGAGAGGAAGGAAACAAGGCTCCCCGTCCAAAAGGGACCGACCCATGATTTAACCGTGATCGGTCAGGTCGTCCATGCCTCATCACAAGCGAGTTGATCGGAATGTCACTCACATATAGACCCATCATGACCACAAACAAGCCAAGGCCAAATAAATTGCCTGGAACAAGAGGTCATAAATGTTTGTCGTTGAGTGCTACTACGAAGTACAACTTTTTCCTGGCGGACATCATACGGCTCGTTCAATATTTTACTTTTTGTCACGTTTTTCTCTCTCTCCCTCTCGCTCCTCTTGTCCTCCCTCGCTATGAGGGCCTCCTCCCTCGTCACACCTCGTCGTGAGAGATTTTGATGGCACAGACCGACGGAAGGCCTTACAGCTCGATGCAACCAGCAAGCAACCCGAAACCCTTGACATCGCCCAACCGATTTGCTACCCCCTTTGACTTTCGACAAGCACCGGGGTGCATCAATGAACAGTCAGTGCGTCTGCCCACCGTACCCCTCGCTCTCTAGCCCGATTTCGAGAACGATCCAGGCAAGAGGTAGTTAGTCAGTCTATGTAAACGACGCACAACAGCAGGGACCGACCCTACAACTATGTACTGTACCACAACAACAAAACACACTTAAAAAATGTAGTCCACAATCCCTTACGGAAGAGAGACAAGGTCACCCACACATCATGCAGCACAAGCTCTTCGTAAGACGAACGACCAAGATTACGACGCTGCTCCTCTCTCTTGTTGTTCTGCGGAAGCAAAGAGGAAACGGAAATAATCTTGCTTGGCGAGAGACCGCGGGAAAGTACTTGCAGAGCGAGAGCTAAAAACAGGAAACAGACAAATAGATGGAATAAGAGAGAGAGAGACCGACAAGAAACAGCGAAAACACGTTGTTTGTGTGACGAATGGCATTTACAACGGGGAAATAATCCTCCCCCCCAAAATACATTAAAACGGTCTGCAGCACCTTGGCCGGTTCTCTCGACGGACTGGCTGAAAAACGACGGCGACCTGCCCGAAGCTACAGCAATTCGTCACACGAAACACACGCACAAACAATACGCCTAACGCTCATCTCATCTCCATACAACAAAGACAAAGCTACCTTATCCTTACATTTCTCGCGTGCTCGCCATGTTGCGCACCAGAAAAAGCGATCCTTCCCCCCGTCCCGACAACGCTGCCATGCACAGCATTAGCAACATGTAGTACCCGACTAATAGAAACAGCCTCCTCGTCATTACACCGACCAACTCTACCCCCACCAATGAATGAACCCCACCGCACTATTTTACCGGCACTGCTGCGCTATTCTTCTTCTTACTTCCTACTTATGTGATACCTGCGTGCCGTCGCGTCTTACTCGGAATCGGAAAACGCCCCCCCCCTCCTCCTCCCCCGTCCAAACCTGATCTCTGACGTATGCCGTCCCTCGATCATCCCAGTCAGTGCCAACAAGCAGATGCACTCAAGAGCAACGCAAAACTGGAACGACAGACGGAACGAAAAATAAGACTCTCTTGCCTTCTCGCGAAAAAGAGGTCGCGTCGGTGCCAGACAGGGGCCGGAGGTCAAGCCTTGGTGCGGGGGAATCGCTACTAGCTAAACCAAACCAGGCAGGACACGCTCTTGGCAACCGCGAACAGACAGACAGGAGGAGGAAGAGCGGCGGCCACCGAGATACTAACGCCGTTTTTTGTTGTCCCCGTTTTCCTGCGCTGTCCTTTTCGGGCGCGTGTGGTTGGTAACGCTTCACAGGTAAAGAAAATAAAAATAGAGCAGTAGCAGTACAGCCGAAACACTTTAATACAATTCACACCACCCCCTGCGTCCAACAGAGTAGGACCCCGTCACCGTGAAGGGGGGGGGGGGGGACTCTGTTCTTTCCGTTTGTTCGGAAGAAAACAGCAAAAGATACCACAGGAAACCAGCAGCCCTTCTCTCTTCCGTTCAAAACCACGACGACCTCGGACACGTACGTCCGTAATGCATCTAGTCACGCAACCCCCTCCTTCCCTCTTCCCTATCTACTGAATGTCATCCCCGTTTGCTGCTCGAGGGGGGCATAAAAATACGCATTACAGAAACGCAAAAGAAAACGCCTCGCCGGTTTTCACTTCCTTCCTTTCCCCGTAGCAAACCTGGGGTGGGCTTCTACAGGAGGTAGATGGTGCTCACACCATCTCCGCCGCACCAATCCACCACACCTCAAAAAAGCTTCGCGGGCGTGTTGTAGCCGTTCCAGACAGACAACAACGCAAAAAAAAACGGCCTCAGCATTTGCAATCAGTCAAGGACTAGGGGGGGCAGCTAGCAAGAGCATGAGACATATCGATCTTACCGTCAAGCTCACCACCGGGGCCTCCCTGTGCTAGGCAAAAAAATCGTCTCAAATGCTGCCATGAACCAGGTTCGCGCAGCACCGAAATCGACACAATGTCGACCCCACTTCCAATCATCGTACTTCACACGGTTTACAGCAGCTTTCGGGCGGTGGATTCAACGAACAATTGATTCATCCCACCGTAGTGCGCGGAAGCTCTTGCTGCTTGTGCTGCTGCTCGTGCTGCTGCTGCTGCCACTTCCTCCTTCCCTCACCCTTGTCGTCTTCCATCTCCCCCCGCGCCCCCCCCCCCCCATTCCGTCCTCTCGAGAACGCGTGGTCAATGGTCTAACCGTTAAGGCATGCAAAACGTAACAGCCCCCCCCCCCTCGCCCCCCCCTCCCCGGCTCCTCCTCGTCGTCGCCCCTACGCGGCACGATCACCTGAGGCCGTCCGCCGGCTGAAATGCATCACCGAAGAGTAACGACAAAAACAGGTCACGATCGCAGTAGCATGTACTGCACGCAGCCACCAACACCACCCTTCCGTAGTCCCCCCCCCCGTCTGGCCTTGGGCAACCAACTCATGATAGGACCTGCGCCTCTTCTCTCTCGGATAGCCGAGCTGAACATCACCCTCAACGCCCGAGGACGGTGGCTTCAGGCCAGTCAACAACTCCAAATTCCACACCGAAAAAAAACAAAAAATAAAAGGGAGGAGCGAGAGAGCGGGGGGAGGGGGGTGATCGGATCCGGCAACCTGTCGGCTACAGAACACAATGAAGGAAAACCGGACCACCCGGGGCCATCTGTCGTCGCCGTCGGATAAAAACGTCCACCATCACCACCACCATCAGTATAGAACGCGAGGATCAGTTGCCCGAACCATATCTCTCCGTGCCTTCCCCGCAGGCGAACTGCACCACGACCGGGTGGTCGGCGACGGCCTTAATGTAGCTGGAGTAGTCCAGCGTTCCCGTGCGGCGATCGCCGTACTCCCCGAACATGTCCAAAACTAGCTCCTGCACACGCGCGGCACCACCCCGTGCGTAAACCAAGCGAAAAAATGGTCAGTTTTATTGCGACGAAACAAGAGAGAAAAAAACACGTACGTGCAGGAGAAGAAAAACGGAGGGGGGGGGGGGGAGGGGGGGCAATCGCCCGTGGAAAATCTAAACCTTACGCTTTGACCGCACCAACACACAACCTAACAACACACGGCCCCCGACTCCCAACACGAACACCCCCCCCCCCCTCTCCCGCCGCCCCGGTGGCCTCGATGTGAGGCAGAAGCAACTTTTACGATGTCCCAAGCCGTTGCCCTACCCCCCCCCTCGCCCCCTCCCCCCCCCCCCCCCCCCCCCCCTTTTCCTTTTTTTTGTGGGGCTTTTGGCCGGGGGGTCCCCAAAAAATGGGGGGGTTTTTTTTTGTGGGGTGGGAGCCCCCCTTTTGGTCTTTTGGCTTTTTTTTGGGGTTTTTTTTAATCTCCAAACTTAAAAAAAATTTTTTTGGGGGGGGGGGGGGGGG